CTGGTCTAACGCTTTTGGCTAGGAATATCTACGAGACCCTTCTGGACCGGCTGGAACAGATCTGGGCGTATTATCTGTCTTTTCAAGCGGCGGCGGCGAAGGAGCTCAAGGCTCCGTTGTCGTCTGCGCCTTGCAGTCCGGCCCCCGGGCGGAGAATCATCATCATTCGCAGTGACAACCAACCATCTCCATCGAGTCTGTTTGCGTCATTTGACCGGGTCACCACCCCGCCCTCGACGCTGAACGATCGATACCGAAGTCATGGCATTCTGAAGTTGGATCCAAACGGGTTGCCGCCGGAGCCTCAGAAGAGGAGATGGAATATCCTGAAGTCGATGTTCGGTGGGCCCGCGAATCCGAAGCCGGGCGAAGTCACGCCTCCTGACAGCAGTTCGGACGAGTCCGAACGGAATTCGACGGAGACATCTAACGGCGGCCGACGGTCGAATGAGAGCAGCAGCCAGGGCACGGACGACAGCGACAGTGTCAAGCGACCTCCCACGCCGCACCAGCCCTTTTGCTTCCGGTTCTCACTCGAATGGCTGGACCGGCCGCAGTGGCCCAGCAAGAACAAGCGGCTGTTTACGCCTTGTCTGCCCGTGGGGGCACAGTTGCACGTTCAACACCGTCGGTCGATGGCCCTTTCTCAGACGGAGGGCGAGGATGCGAACGACGACGACGCGGAGTCGGGGGACGATTCCAAGGGCGGGGACACCTCTACGGCGGGGACTCAGGAATCGTACGTGACGAGCAAAACGTCGGTGGAGGCCTCGTCCGAGACGGAAGTTCGCCGTCCGCTGCGCAACGAGCGGCTTGTGGCCAGCAAGTATGCGGGTCGAGCACTTGCCGAATGGGCACAAGTGGTGTCGGAGTGCGACAGCTTCTTCGAGCGGCGTCGTGATGAGGGGGTGCCGAGTGACCGTCTGGTCGAGACGCCCACGTTGGGAGTTGACAGCTTCCGGAAGTGAAAAATTGACTTGGCAAAGTCATTTATGTTCACAGTAATCTTGTTTTGTCTTCTTGACTTGACATTAATCTCTCGTCATCATAATCATTTTCATGCTATGCCAGGATCTGCAATGGCTGTCGTTCTCTGTTTTTTTCTTTTTTTTTAATTTCTTAATTCATTGTATCGGGGTGTCATCGTCGTCATCGTCGTCATTGTTTTTCTATCTGCAGCAATCTGTCTGGACGGATGATTCTTACTTGTCTTGTCTTGCTTGTTTTACTTGCTTTACTTGCTTTTCTTGCTTTTCTTTATTTACTTTCATACTTTCTTTCATACTTTTCATCCCAGGGCAAAGGCTTGCAAGGTTGGCTGGCTGGTTTTTTTTATTGTCTGATTGATCTTGACTTCTTGACTTCTTAACTGGTTGATTCACTGATTCACTGACTGGTTGCCTTTCTGATTCTGATCCTGACTGGTTAATCGGTTCCTTGGGTGCTTTGATTTTGTTTCCCAAAGAAAGAAAGAAATACCGTACATACGGAGTACATTATAGAGATAATCGATTCGTCCTGTACATACATACATTCGAGAGAAAGCGTGCGTGCGTTTCCTTACCTTTTTTTTACTTTACTTACTTTCATAGATAGATTGGCGGACACAAACTGTGTGATTTGACTGATCACTGTGGACTGAACTGATCTGATTGAATCTGATCTGATGTGAACTGAACTGAACTAGACTAATGAGGAGGGTTATTGGCGTTGTGGTTCCTCTTTTTTTTTGGCCCTCTATTTTTTCTGTTTCTTTTTATTTATTACTAATTTCAGAAATTGAAGGAACCCTGCGCCGCAGACCTGATTGATTGACTGCTTAAAGCGCTACTTTTTTTTTCTTGATTTCGTTTCGTTTCGCTTTCTTTTCTTTTCTTTTCTTTTCTTTTTTTTATTCATTTTCATTGTAATAAGTAATATTAATATTATTAGTATTAATTCGATTCAATGCAATTCAAGTGAACTAGCTATATTATATATAATATATTGTCAGGAGATTCCTCCTGTGTGGCATGTGTGCTCATTTAATTGCTCAACATCCGTCGTCGTCACTGATTTTGGCATCAAAGCAGGCTGCAGCTTGGGGATGAAAAACAAAAAAAAGACATGGGATTCTTTTTTTTTGTTTTTTGGTTAGAACTTTCTTTCAATAGATGACCAAAAAAATCAATGAATCTTATTATTAAGCATATATCGATCAAAAAAAAGTAACCAAAGCTGGAATAACAACCTCCAGTCCTAACCTAACCTAAGACCACTCACTATCAATCCTACCTAATATAATATGTATAGAGCAAGTCAACACATACATACCTCTTTTTTTTTTCGCGCTCATTTATGATCCAGCCATTATTGATTGATTTGATTCCAGTCACCACAATCTTCACTCCAGTACGGGGGGGCTTTTTAATCTTTTGCTGATTATGTGATAGTTTTACATCCGCCCTTGCAACTTAGATGGGCTTGGGCTATGAACATTACCATTCCCCAAAAGTGAGCAAGAATGGGTAAGAAAAAGTTGGAGCAGACTAGCCATACTACACATACATATGTGCCTTGTGTGAATGATCTTTTCAGCTGGGACAAGGACGAGGAGGTATTATTATGTACATGTACAGTATACATGCTTCCCAACTAGGCAGTGACATTGTCAAATTCCCTTCTGTATTGTATTGTAATGCAGGAGGACAAGGGTGGATAACATTGCCAGTGCAGAAAAAAATTGAAATTGGTAGTAAAGAGGGTCCAGGATCTATCTGGAAAGGGAAAGGGAAAGTATTTTGACCTTCTGGAAAGCCGTCGTCACCAACATCTTCTTCTTCCTTCGGACCTTCCGGGGAAGAAGACCATAAATCCCCTCCTGATGTGCTGCGATATGTTTGTTGACTTCCTCGGCAGCCTGGCAGCTGGAAATGAGTCATGGAGCAGAGTGACAGCTAGATATTTTTGTGATGGATGGAAAGCTGCAAAAGCCTGAGGTGGAAAAAAATATGGGCTTTCGCGTACTGGATCCAGCTGCTGAACAGAGGAGGCAAGGGGAGCCAGACAGATTTTTTCTCTAGAATAATTACTTCTTGGGCATGGCTTTTTTTTCTTGGCTTGTCTTTTGGTGTTTCTCTTTTGTGGATGTCTGATGTTATACCTCTTCCAGGACTTCATTAATCTTGCTTATAGGGACAGGTTCAGGTTTGTTCCTGCTTTTTTTTTGTCATGCAGTGGGATGTTTCACCTTACTACTCGCAAATCTTTGACAATGAAAAGATAGTGTCATTTTCAAAATCATATCACCATGCGGAGCTCTGTAATATATGATTGACTGATTTTACTGGTATTATAGCTGACTGGAATTAATTTGGCCCTGTCTTTACTATTACACCTCGGGACCTCAGTCTCAGTCATCACGCAATGTAGAATAGAGTGTTAAGAGAGTATTCCATACTGTACATACTACCCAATTTCACTACGAAAAAAAAAAAGAGGCGAAATCCTACCACACACAAAGAAATCGAGAAAGTAATTAAAGCGGGATTTTTTTTTTAAAAAAGGACCGAAAAAAACGTACAACAGCTGGGATTCGCTGGTGGTCACCCACCCAACTACTAACTAGCCGGCGTGTGGCTTAAGTACGGCTGAGCGGACGGGAAGCCCTGTTTTCCACACCCTATGGTCGTACGTACCAGATAAGAAAGGAAAGGGATATATAGAAGAGTAAAATAAAAGAAATACTGTGTGTGTATAACCCGAGTTGCATTCCAAAAGCAGGGTTGGCGACGACGATGAAGTACGGTGTATGTTCTGGATTTTTCTTCCCATTTATATATATATAAACATCCTTCTACTCTGTACTACATCAAGGTCTCCCATTCTAAGTGGGTTTTCTTTCTGTTGCTATCCTAGGATAGCAACACAACCATGCCTCCTAAGGCACCCTGTGGAAGGTTTCCCCAAGGTGCCTAATATACGAATGGCTTCCCAAATATCGTTAACAATACGGGACTCCTGTGGAAGGCTTCCACGGGGTGCCTAATATCCGGATGGGCTACTAAGCAGAGTTGTCATTCACGCTAGCTTGCAATCCCTCACATCCACCTAATTCCCAGGCTTGATGCATTCCTTTGTACCTCATTCTCAAATTAGATAAAATCCTGTTTCTCCCAGATCTCCTCTGCAATTTTCTGAAACTGTTGTTGAGTAATGGTAAAGTTTCGTTCATGGGGTTTGCTTGGATCCATAGGACGGCCCACTATGTTTTGAAAAGGTAGAGTCATTAATCTAGTCACTGTAGCTGTATTATTCAAACATGTCATCTGTACTTCATGAATTATAGAAGCAGATAAAGGTGTGGCTCGAGTGGACATAGAATGTTGTCGAGGGGCTATCTCCCAGCGCTTCACAACAATCTCTGGATTGCCTTCGATAAATTTTCATCATAACGGCAAGTTGAACAGTTGATCCCCTTGTTTCCATCCACCCCCGTGCATCTATTGCTAGCAGTGAAGATGATTCTGACAATCCAATCTCGAGAACAAAGCTTAGTTGTATAGGTTGTGACCTTGGTCCACAGCACGCATCGGCTCGCTTAGAGAAGTTTCCATATCTCCGTGGTCCAGCCCATACGGAGTTTCTTCTTCACTCCTGCGGCACACCAAATCCCAGCCTGGATCAATGGATCTCGCTGATCACCCTTTTTGACCTCGATATCCAGGAAGATAGGGAGTTGGGGGATGGATGTGAGAGCCTGGTTTAGGCTCTGCTCGTCGGCCATTAAGGTACGGAAATATTTCCGAATGGCGCTCTGTTCATCGCTAGAGGGAGCAAGTCCGAGAACATAATCGATTTGCTTGCTGACAGCGGCTGTCTTCTCTGGGTGAATCGGTCTGTTCGAAACCGGCGCTATATTTAAATGTGTTCTGGCTACATGCAAGGTCTGTATTAGCCATCTGGATAGGATATATCTAAGGGAAGAGATAAGCGCTGCTGACACATTGACGAATATAATGTCGCTGCTCCACAGCAGGCAGATCGTCTCCTCTCCAATATCTTTCCGGCAACCTTTTCGCACCAATCGCTTTCATCGCCTTCGTGGCGATACTGATCTGCCGACCTCAGGGTGCCTTCGATGCACCCTTCTATTAATTTGATATGTTGGTGTGACCAGTGTTGTTCTCGATCCAAACATTCATTCTTCATTAATCTCTGGGATCTATCATATTCTGTAAAGATTAAAGATTCTCGTTAGTGAGTGAGAATAATAAACAACAAACATTCACATCGTTGAATGAATGCACTTACTCGAAGATCGATGAGTACAATGGCCATTAAGGTAAGTAAGTGATGGCTTTAGATGGCCCAGAAACCTTCTCTGTTTCCCCGTCCATATCCTTCTAGAACTCTTGTCCTGGACACGAAGAGTATTCCCGGATCCATAGGTAATCCGTAAATCTCTCATCGTTAGGCTTTTCTGGCTGGTCGATGGTGTCGTCGTATCATCGAGTGTGGTTCCCAATGGGGGGGGGGGACTCGATACCAGTTCTGGCTCGGATGGAAGAGACTGGCGGGCCTTTTTTCGATGGTCTTGAAGCTGGAACCCCTTCACTTTCTTTCTTGACCGTATCGATCCGGCTTTTTTTTTCGTTGCCTCTTCGGCCTCAGTCACGAGAGAGGAATGGATTGGCACTGCATCCAGCCATTTCTGAATGTCGCGAAGTTTGTTTTTTTGGCAAGCATACTGTCTCCAGCCGTGATTCAGGCAAGCGCGGGTCAGTCATGCGTAGTCCTGTTTAGAAAGCAGGCATTACCGTCGGGGATGCTCTTTTAAAAGGTTAGGTAGGCCACGATGGCTGCCTAAGGAAAAGATAGATAGACATTCTTTGGTTTTTAAAAGTTTGTTCTTTTTCAGCCACCATAGTTTCCTGAAGGAATGCGTAGATGCCTGTTCATCCGTACTGGCGAACCCGATCAACGTTTCATGACCCTCGTTAAAGGCTTGTAAATACATATATATATTGTGGAGGTTAGATACGGGCCTATAATGATATCGACTCCCCCTACCTTGCAGAAGGGCTAAATCAGACTGGAGTCATATATATTGCTTGCATTAACTATTTAATATACAACTCCCTTCAGCGGCCAGCTCACCCGCTCCTGCTCCGCGATCTCCAGCCTCAATCCAAATCCATCAGTCACGACGAACCCTCCTCCTGGATGCGCAAGTCGACGGGCCGCGACCGCCACGGCGCCATACCGCACCTCGCGAGATCCAAAAATCTCCAGCAGTGCGTTAACGTCCGCGTTGCTGTCTCCGCCCTGGAGAAGAGGAGCTGCGAAAGCCTTCGCGATCTTCACGGGGCTGAGCGACACGGGCCGGCCGAGATACCACCAGCCCATGAAGAGGGGCACAATCCCGACAACACCAAAGATCACAAATGCGAGGGCAGCGTACAGGAATTTGTAATGGGCTATATAGACGGTCTCGATGGCTGTCTCTGTTCCGTTCACTGTCTGGTAATAAGAGGCATTTGACTTGAAGACGGCAGCTCGGAAAGCCAGCTCGCGGATCCCGGAGAGCAGATCCGGCGTCGGATCGGTCCAGGTCATATTCACAGTACCGACATCTTCCGCAGATGAGTTCATGTAGTTGCTGGCCATTGGGCCTGTCGAATCAATGGCGTAGATGGAGTCGAAGTAGAGTGACATATTACTCCCAAAGAGTGTCTGGGCTGCTACTGCAATACCGCCGACAGAGGAGGGCCAGATTCCTAGCCCGGCGTATTCCTCAACTGGATACTGCAGCTCGACTGTGTTGTTCTTAAAGACAGATTGTGGTGTTAACGTCACTGTCCCATTGCTGACCTCGACTGGGTACTGGACCATCGCAGTATGCAGATTGCAGGTGGTCCTGCGGAGATGGCCGATGGCCCCTCTGGAAGGCTTGTAGACGTTCTGTACCTCAATCTCTCCTGGAAAGGAGGGCCCCTCAAAATAGACAGTTGCAGAGCCCACCCAGTACTCTTGCCATAGCACACCAGAGAGATTATACGGTAGCAAGTCAGATAATCGTTCGGTATCTATTCTTAGCAATGCAGTCGCTCGTCATATAAATCATGCGGCCCTCCAATGCCATATGTGCACCAAAGAATAGTTGCCGTTCAAGGCTTTGGAGTTGGAATCATAATATAATCATCTATGAAGACACGTTAGCGGCCGAATGAAAGGATGCAAAAAGGAAGATAAGAGAAAGAGAACAGGGGACAAGTGCCAGAGGAATGGTGCAAGGCAACCTCGCCAAAGATAGTAATATCACACACCTCTGTTTTCATATGCTTGTCCAGTACACCATTTCAGCTGAAGTCTAGCCTTGCTCGCGCAAGTCGCCAATTGGAATGAAAACTGAGCCTTATAAACACAACCCTTGGAGCTGAATAGATGGCAGGATTGGCATCGTGTTTTGTTGGTTTTGACGCGGGGGTGCTCGGTGAATGCAGGGAGCTGACTGGTCCATCGATCTCCGACAGGCGTTGCCGCATCCTCACCAGGATAATTAATGATCAAGAATTGATATTGCTCGAGCAGGCATGCTCGTTGCGTTTGCAAATATAGTAAGCGAGCTATATTATTACATGACTTTAGGTAGGTGCTTAGTGAGTGCTCAACCAGTGCTCAGCTGCACCCTCATGAAAGCGGCAGTATCCAGAAAAGGAAATTTCAGAGGCGGGGCAGGAAAATATCCAGTATATTAACATACACGAGTAAAATAACGACGATAATGATGATGTGATATCAATATTACACAGATATCTACCTACCTACCTACCTATCTATCTAGGTAAGGTAATGATGGTAGTTATCTAGAAAGCATCGATGATCGATCTGATCGATCGAATGAAAATCGTCTAGTCATTTGTTTGTGTTCAATGCAACAATAAACAGACAGACAGGCAGGCTGAATTGACTGAAAGAGAAAAAATATATATTTTTTTTTTGCTTCACATCCGCAGACACCTTGCTGCCAACGTCTCATATCTCTGCGTGCTTGTCCCCGTCTGACTCCTTGCCGTTAGCCGACGCAGCCTCGCGTTCCACGTCCTCTGAGACGGTCTCGTGAGAAGGCGCAGAATCCTTGTCTTCTGGCTTGGCAGCTGGCTCATCAGGTTCGACAGCAGCCTCCGACTCGGCTTGAACCGCATCTTCTACCTTGGCTGATGTTGTCTCATCGGCTTGGGTGGACTCGCCGGTTGCGGCGCTAATCGACTCCTGCGCCTTGGGCGCCTCAGATACTGCAGTTTCTGACGTATCTGCCGACTCGACAGCCTTTTCTTCCACCTTCGCGGTCCTGGTTGGCCCAACAACCAAATTCCCGTCCGCATCCACCTGCCACACGTTCCACGCGTCCATGATGCGGATCTCCGGTATTGACGGAAGTTTCGTCTGGGCCGCAGCAGCCGGCTTCCTCCTTGGCGGTCCCCGAGCTCGTCCCTTGCGGGCATCGCTCAGAGGTCCCTTCTCCGCCGGTGCTTCGGGTTCCTCCTTCTTCTCGGCCGGTTTGGGTCCCTGTGGGCCGAGTTGCAGACGAGAGTTCAAGTCCGACAGGAAGTTGGCTTTCACGCCCGCAATCCCGCCCGAAGGTCGAGCCGGGATAGTCGGCTTGGGCTTGGTCGCCGGCGGCGCCGTAGTATTCTCAGTGGACTCACGAGTGACAGGCTTGGCAGGGCGAGCAGGCACTTGTGGCCTGGGTCGATCGGGAATAGCAGGTGCCTTCCGCACCTCTGTCGGTGAACTGCTCTTCTCCTCCGGGGAGGCATTCTTCGAAGAAACATCCGTCTTTGCGGGCCTCTGAGGTCTGATAGGAACACTAGGTCGAGGAGGTATGGTGGGCTTGGTGGACGCATCGGGTGGACTCTTCACCTCAGTGTCCGCCGGTTCTATCGTCGTGACCAGTTTCTGGCTTTCGGGGGCATCCTCCCAAATATCTCGACTGGGGAAACGCTGTTTGACCGTGTCTGGTTGTGATGGTTGTTCTTCATGAGCCTCGCCGTTGGACTCGAGAATGTGAGAGGCAACTTGGTGCGAGTCGACCTGTTCCGTCTGCTTCCTTCGAGCCTCTTCGGCCTCCGGGGTTTCAAACGTGCTCTTGGACTCCTCTTTTGGCGGCTCCGGTGTGGAGACACTGGCGTGTAGTTGCAGACTATCCGGAGTGTCTTCCCAAATGTCTTGACTGGGGAATCGATGTTGCTCGACGCGGTTTCTGAAGCGCTCCGCGGTAGACACTGGCTTCTCAGATTTCTCATCCTCAGGGAACAAAGGCTCGTATTCTTCCACATCCTCGAGAGGGGTATGGGTCTCCTCATATTCCTCACCACGCGAGTTCCACCGCGCCAGACCAGCGGGAGCGCCGTGGAGGCTGCTTGGTCGACTTGCGGGACGACTGCCCGCTGCGCTCGGGGTCCGGCTTCGGGTTCTCTCCAGGTCGTGGTGCTCAAAAGTCGGCGAGATGGCAGGGTGGAGGAAGGCTGACTCGGGACGGACTTCATCCGCAGCCAGAATGGGTTCATCGTCGTGCTCCGCGTCACCTTCTGCCGGGCCCTGAGAGGCGTGGTCCGGGGTTTGAGCGAACCCATCCGGACGATGCGAGTGATGATAGGGATCATCCACGTGGATCACATGACTCCCAGCATCACTGCTCGCTACTGATTGTGCACTGCGGGTCCGCTCCAGTTCTGCGGCTGGGAAGCTTGCCTTGCGCAGAGGAGACTCCACGGCTGGCTGCGAGTCCTGTCGCAAACCAGCATTTGGAGGGGGAGAGGCCAAACGGGAAGTGTATTCTTCCGAAGCAATGTAGCCGACTTCCTCTTCGGGTGTGCCAGTCACGGCAGGAGAAGTACCTTTTTCACCAATTGTTAGTATTATCGGTCTACCATATCTCTCCAGTCGAGCGCGGGGACCACTCACCAAGACCACTGCCCTTGGTGGCCGAATTTCGGACGATGCGATTGAGATCTTCACTGCTCAAGGCCCAGTCGGGACGCGGGGCGATTCCTGGCCCATACTGGCCCTCTTCCCGCGCGAGCTCATCGGGATGCTTGTCATACCAGGCCTTCTCAAACTTATCCGTCGCGGGAACGCCATGGCCGTGGAGACCATAGCTGCCTGGTGGAAGGAGGACTTCACGACCGCTGCGAGTGCGCTGGTGATGGCGGCCTGAACGGTGCCCAGCCGACCCTGGCGCGGGAGACGGTGCCTGCACGTCACCCGCGCCGGGGTACATTGGGACCCGCTGTCCAATCTCGGGAATGCCGTGCTCATCCTCAAAATTAAGGGATTGCCGTTTGGTGGATGCGGTTGACGATTCGGCACGCGAGCCATTCGGCTTGGAGTGCAAGGAACGACTGCGGTGCTCCCACTCGTCATGAGAAGGAGACGGCGCTTTGCCGAAACCCGCCGCAGCAGCCTGCTGAGAGTCTGTGCGGGTGACCGCCTGGACTTTTGCCTTTGCGCTGGATGAGGGCAGCGATGGCTTGGGAGCATGAAGCTTCAAGTCGCTGCTCACGTTCCTCGTCTCCGCGGGGACGGAGTGTTCTTGTTCTGACGACGACACCTCCACGGGCAGGTCTTCATATTCGATTCCTTCCTCGCCCAGAGACGGGATCGTCACGCTTGGGGGACGCGGAGGCGGATCGTGGGAGGTGGTGCGGGTGAGATTAGAGCCATTCGGGGGCTCATTCAAGGGAGAGGGGGCGTAGCTATCCCGCATGGGGGAGACGGAGCGCTCAACGCGGCGATTGGTAGGACGAGGAGGGATTTTGGGGATGTCGGAGGAGGAGGCATCAAGTCCAGCGGGACGCGGAGACCTAGACGGTCGAGGAGGTATCACCGGGGCCGTTGGAGCGGACATGGTGGGAGAGGGAATGTTATAAGATCGTTTCGGAAGCCGTGGTGGGCAGAGTCAAGGAGAGATCAGAACCTGGCAGTGGAGAAGTCTGAGTCAGTGTTTGAACCAATGAATCAATTCGGAGTGCAGATCACAAATAAGTGAGTCAGAAGAGATAACTGGCGGAGGAGGACGACAAACAATCCAAAGGCATGCACTTTGACGGCAAGAGACGAAGACAGGGTGTTGGAATGAGGCTTTTTTTTTCCCTTGCACCTTCTTTCGCCGGGGATAACCGATGGTGATAAGAGCAGGCAGTTGCCCTTGCAAGTGGTTCACAGGAACATGATGATGAAGAATTTTCAACAGAGAGCTGGATCAGGCTTTGAGATTTAGTTCAGGGCAAGAAAAAATATAGCGTGCTGGTCTAACGATTGCAGAGCTGCAGGATGGGGGAGCACGCAAGCGCAGCGAGGCTTATCAGAGGCCGATTCGATAGCACCGTCCTCACCGCCTTTGCCTCAAGGCAGCCACTAGCTTGCTGACTGCACGAAAAAGAGCAATGGGCTAATAATAGGTGAATGGCGGTGGCTTACCTGGAGGAGCAATTAAGTAGGAGCAAGTACCGACTGTACTGTACAGAGGACAGACAGGTCAACTGCTGGTCCTGATGTCTGAATCTGAAGAGCTCGAGGATAACGGCTAACTACTATTGGCCGGAAACGCCGAGAGCAGAGAAAGCGCAGAGTCGGGCGACAGAGATGGCTCGGGAGGATCAAAGACAGAGAAAGAGCATCAGATGCGGCCAATTGGCATGAAACGTGGTCTGATCAGACAGGATATCAGGGCCAGGTGGTGGCAGACTGCGATCAGTCGTCATTGACTCAGCCCGGGACAAAGAGATAGAAATAGCAGTGCTGGCGAGGCCAAGGGGCCCGGTCGGTGATGTATGAGTCTACGAGATGCCTGCACCAGCCCCGTCTGCTTCCTGCCACGGCCCACTTGGCCGTCGCGCGCGGTCGTGTGACGCCCTTTGACGCCATGAGTGAGCCCGCTGCGCCGGCTGGAACGCGTGCTGAACGGTATTGTAAGTTTTGTAACCGGTCCGGGTGAGTGAGCCAACCGGCGTCCGCCGTCGCATTAACCGGGTCCCATGTAAGCAGCGCTGATTGGCCAGCTGGCTCTGCCCTGTGGGTTAGCGCTGTCTGAGGTCATGATCCCTGCCGCATCCGACGACGAGGATACGGATCGCTGTGGTATTATTACTCCTCTGCGTGGTTTTCCACCAAGTTCCCCTCCCCCGCCAGGGCAAGACTCGCCATCGCCTGCGCCACCGCTGGTGTCTAATCTGGCAATTCCAACGGGTCGTGGCAGATACCTTGATTTCACGCGCGGAAGCACCAAGAACAACCAACAGCGCTTGAATACCAATCGTACGGGCTACGACGGGCATCTAGATTCACTTAGCAGGGATGACTCCTGCAGCCGACCAGGCTAGGAGAAGACTAGATAGTAAGGGGAAGATCGTATGCCAATGACGAGCAGGTAGGGCACTGCGAAGGTTTCTGTGTATGCCAGCCGTGCTCACTACAGCGCTGGACACTTTGATTAGTTGTCATGTAGATTTAGTTTTTATGTACTGTCGAGACCAATTGGCTGGAATCCAGTCGTTGTTCGTCAGGATCAAATCATCAGCCCAAAGAATGATGATTTCAACACTGTCGCGTGGCACGGTACAGAGTACATACAAGGCAGCAAGCGGCAACAGGGAAAAAAAAAAAGGGCCAAAAAGTCAAAAAAAACTCTGCTACCTGGCGGTTGATCCTTGGTCTGCGGGCGATTCCAGCGGCTAAGAACTCTGATTTGGTATCGACTAATACGCGCAAAAAGCAAACTTTCTTTGACTTCTCAGCATGCATGTGCCACGATGTATATTATGCATGCCACGTTTAGGTGGTTTCGTAGGGAGGGAACTTCCGGCTGCCAAGTATCAACTGGACTTGTGACAGTATTTTCGAATGTGTTTGCACAAGCAGAACCAGGCCACATGGACGAGAAGTAATATACGATTACGGGGTATATTCCGACTCGTAACTTCGTAAGCCAGGGTGACGATTTCGGGGATTCCTTCCCCACAATCTCGACTCCAAAATTAGTAGGAGTGCCCGGCTATTACCTAAGATGGGCCTTAGGCACGAGTAGGCTGCCGACTAGGCAGTGTTAGCCTGCGACGATAGTCGCCACACCCGGTGGTGGGCCACAGTCAGATCACGGGGGCGAGGATCATGGATCGATCGCCTCATCGCCCCTTCCAGTGCCCACGCGAAGGTTCGAAGTTGTTCCCCTTCGACCTGCTCACATCAAGGGTCTTTTACAGGTGGGATTTTCTTCATCTAAGCCTCAGAAAAGGACATTCAATGGAAACCAACAGTTGTAGGTCGTTCTTATGGAATCAGTTGGGAATCGAATCAGTCGTGAATCGAAGGGTACTACCTAAGTAGGTATACTACAGCGTAGTCCACGCACATGACATGACATGCACCTTGCTACTTGAAGATAGATCATCCAACTCGTCCTACCTGACTCCTAGATTGCTGCATCCATGCATATTGACCCCTCTTTGATCTCCCTCTCCCTCTTTCTCCGATTTTTTACCCCGCATTCTCAATTCTCTCTAGTCAAGAGGTCTGACCTCATTGCGCATTGTAAGCATGTACTGTATGTCTGTACAGTACAATAATGCCTCTGATCACCTGCACCGAAGGAAAATTGCCTGACTTGATAATTGCTAGCCAATTGATATGGAATTGCTCATTTTGGAGAATACCTATACTCCCTACCTAGTAGGTGCTGTACTTTACTTAGGCAGGTATATTATCACGCAATATCTCGTAGATTTCCTGGAACAAACCTACAATAAGCTACCTTAGGTAGGTACCTAGCTAGGTAGACAACCTTACGTCTGAAGTAGGTTAGGTACTGTACCTAATCCATTTCCTCCCTATCGCTTGTGATTTCCGATTTCCTAGGATCCGTAGATCACCAACGAACCCCGCTGCACGTGTGTACGCCATTCCGCACCTTTTTGCCCCGCATTGTATGTACTCGATTGCCCTTGTCAAGGTATTATTCGCTGCGGTCAGTCGAGAAGACGGGTAGCTACCAACTCTTAAAGGACGTGTGACGTCGTTGTACAGCCTTAGGACCTCATGCACCGAGCCATTTGCGGCTACCAGAGAAAAACCTCGCATAAGCACTCTACCTACGCACTGATCTTCCTGTACGACCATATCTGTCTGAATTGTACGCAATAAATGCGGCATTTTTCACACTGGGTCATTACTTTTTGCCATTTTGCGAGAATCTAGCAGTAGCTAGGTACATACATAGGAGCTAGGTAGTACCAGACACAAAGCAAAGTTTCCGTCCTTGATTGGTCACAAATAATTGTCTCATGAACTATTCATTGCACAGCAGTCATCAAAGTTATTCAAGTTTGTGTCGGTTATCTTAGATGATATTAACTTTCGGAAAAGGATTTCGCCATTGGAATCGGAGTTGCAGATGCGGGATTAAAAAGATCGATGAGCCACTCACTGTCCTCCGAGTCGAGCAGACAAATGGAGATCGGCAAACCGTTCACTGCCTTCCGAATTGTCCTCTCTGCGTGGGTGCGTTCGTCATGCTTTTTCTGGCCGCGTTACCACCCTTGTTCGGGGTATTCGTATTTGCAGCCGCAGGAACATTTTTGGTCCAATTCTTATAGCACGGCTCGTTCTTCTCCCATTCAGAAACACACTTGTTCATCATGTTGACAGAGAGATCGCAGGCGAACTTTGGAACTTCCACGAGAAGACTGTTCGGTAAAATCGCCGAACCAGCTCCATTACCCTTCCTCAACTCCGTCAGGCGATCCAGTGTTATCTGAACAACGAGGCTCCTGAGATAGGGATCGTGTTGTGGGGCCAACTTGTAGATTTCAGCCACAGCTTGACAAAAAGATCCTTGATCGAGACGCTGCCGCAATTTTTCACTCAGCTTCTTTCCTGCAAGTGATTTCAGACCCGCGATGAGCAGCCGGTCGGCGAGCAAATACATGTGTATGTGAAAGACGAGCGAGTCCTGAGGCGCCGCTGGTGGAAGTGGATTGCTGTTGGGGCCGGTCTCAGGGGCATTGCCTCCCACACCTCCAGCTGACATCTGAGAAAGACACCCATCGATGGACTCAACTCCGTAATCGAGTGTGTAGAGGTATTCGAGCATCCGCTTTACCATTTGGGGGTCCTCATCATTCAGCTCAATTCTCCTTGAAGATGCTTCCTAATTGATCGTTACTACATGCAAACTTCAACAATTGAAGCTCAGCTATATTGCTTACCTGGAACTGACTATCACACGCTGCAGCAATGAAGTCAGACCGGGGACAGACAATACACCGATGGACTGCAAACGACTCAGAACGACAGACAATCGTCAAGTCGCTGTATTTGGGGTTGTGAAAGAGACGTCGACCTAAGCCATCATGAGCAAACACGCTCTGTGCTGGAGCCATCTGGTGTAGCCTTTTGGCAGAGTGCGGAGAGTTGTTTTGCAAAGATGACTCTGCAGCTGCCTTCCTCTTTAGGTCCTCCAGCATGCTGAGAGCACCTCACATAAATATAAGATGGCGCAGTATAAATGAGGAGTGAAATGTGAAACGTGAATGGGATGAGAAGTGACGGGTGATTGTGACTGCGGTGAAAGGTCCCTTCCTCATGAGTGAGATATCGCAGGATTCTGTGACGGATCTTCTTCGTTAAGTGAAGGAATACCACGTGAGACATTGTTCTGGTCGAGGTCGCTTCTGCCCAGGTGGGAAAATGAGAGAGTACAGTGACGGAAGTGTCTGCTCTGCCGCTTCGAAGGCGCATGAAAACGAAATAACAAAAGGTTGTTTCCAGGAGAAGAAACTTCTATGAACACTGACACTTTGAGTACAGCTGGTTTTAATATAGTATTAAAAGGATGAATTATTCTGTGCCTTACTTTGGGAGGGAATTTTGGATGCATCCTCCGATGTGGACTGATAGATTTCTCATATATAGATCAAGAGGAATCAACTGCTGGAACATATCTGTAGTGGCAGCAAGCAGGTAGTATGACAAACACAGCCTGATACACATATATGATGTTACTAGGAAACAAGATAAAGAAGTAAGAGAGACAAGAAATGAGAAACAAGAGCCATCCCTAAAACAGAAAATATCAGTCAGGCCTACAAAAGCCGACTGGCTGACTGTTCACTGTCAATTTGATCAGATTTCTTTTCACCAACAACGGTCGATCGAATCGACTATCTTGATAGACGTCAAGCCCTAAGGGTTCTGGGCAAGCAGCCAGTCATTTAGTCAGTCACGATAGATTCGATCATCTTTATCAAGCATCAACACATCATTCGGCACCGCGCCACACTCCAGTGCTTTTCACTCAGGGGAGAACAAGGATATAACTAACTAGAAACATATACACAGATAGACCTTGGTTAGCAAGAAGTGAGAGGTAGACAAGGGTAATGCAATCGTTAGTATCTCAAATCCTCGAGTCCGTCTTCTTGACATCATGGGATCGTTATGCGAAAAATGAAGGATCCTGGACGAGCAGGAGCTTTCTTTCTGTCTCTGTTATGTCAACTCACTCTCCCCAACCACATCTCAGCAAGAAATGCCTCGACAACAAAAGTGGTATTTGTATGGTAGTTCTGGAACACAAAAGCAAGACATGACATGACATCGCAAGAGTCATTCCAACTGCTGAGTTAAAGAAACAGATGACAGCGTCCAAAAAGGACTCTCGTTACTGTCAATAGAAAGGACAAGAAAGGAAATCACTGCCATCAGTCATTCTCTTCCAAACACATGTCAATGTCGTCAACCATCACACAATCATCTGAACAAGGCCCTGGCCACCAAGAGTCTTGCTGCCAACAAACTCCTGATTTTTAAGGCCAGCAAGGAGGTAGAAGACAGCCGCAACAAGGAGAACCACAGCAGCAGCGATCAAGCTGGATGCGCCAGAGATAAGGCTGAGCCATTGTATGGCACTCATGACCACATAGATAACCGCGCGCATGTAGTTGGTTGTGAAACGGCGGATAAACGAGTCAAACTTGGACGAGGTCGGGCAGATCCTGAGCAGGAAGGGAACCTCGATGAAGATCAAAACGAATGCAGAGCATCTGCCAAAGTAACCCTCCGTTAGCCAAATTTCAGAAGATTTGTAGCACTGCCAATACTCACAGGCATATTATGCTAAAAGGAATTCGCAGAAGGGGGGCGAAGATGTTGGCAATGCCCAGGGCGAAGCAGAGGAAAATGCACAGGACGCCCGTCCTACATGGAGACCAAAATCAGCAACAGAAATCACCAAAATATGATGAGATATAGCGCAGTAGCCTGCTATCCCAGCTCCACTCTTGAATTTTCTCAAGACTTGCGTGTTGTAGAATCCTCCGTAGGATAGACATCACTGCGGACGCGGACTTGCTCGGGAACACGCAGGCAAAGTGAAGGTCTATGGACTCGGAGCGAAATGAACAGCTATAGAGGGACAAAGGATACAAACCATTGTCCGTAGATACCTAAGAGAGGCGTGCACTGTTAGCTCCTGACCTGACTTTCACGCAAGAATCCAGAAGGGTGAACTCACTAAAATTCCGCGAGCGGAACTCCTCAGCCAGAGTCATTATGACGGTAGTTCAGAAAGAAGACAATAGAACAGAATGATGATTCCTGTAAGATGGCCGACCTGACTGCGCGCCTTCTCTCTACTGGGATTTGGGCAGGTTGCTGTTCTTCCAGAATCTTGTAACGCTCAGACGCGTCTGTCAAAATCGCAGTGAATCACTAACGTTCAATCAGTCACAGCTTTTCCTCTCCGTCACTCTTGTTAAGTGGCGCAAGAGAAAAAAGAAGATAAGTGGCTGTAACAGCTAGCTATGGAAGCTGAGGCCTTGGGGGCAATAAACAACAACGTGGAAGGTTGGGATTCCGCAGCTGCGGCGTTAAAACGCGACAAGCTAAAAAAAGGCCCGAAGCCTCAACGCCCGCAAGCCTGAAACTGCACACCTTTGATATCTCAATGAATTCTGAATAAAACAGCACTTAGCGGATGGTGCGCATTCAAATAACTGCACATCAAGAGAATTTTTTTCTGGAGATGAGTTGTAACAGCTGAGCTTGCTTTTTTTGCCTCTCACCTTCGCGGTCGGCCCTGGCCACAATTTAGTAACTCTGAAACAGGACAAGCGGCAACTTGGAACCTTCTCCACTGACAACAAATGAAACAATAAATAACAATAAATATTGAGGCGCCAACTAAGAATAAGAAAATCCCATATTCTGGGAGCGAAATGATTACAAGCAGAAATAGTCACGGTAAGACTTCTTAAGTAGGCCGACAAGTATTCAGGCATCCACATAACCAATGTCGGCACAACGTATTCATCGAGGCTGAGAGCCCTTGGTTTTCTATAGAACTCTGCAGCCTGAGAGTGGATCTCTGGTGACAACGCCTCCGGAATGAGACCATACAAGCAGCTCAAGCACCTCTTGAGAGGTGAGGAAGTGCTTCTCATTTCAAAAAGGGATAAATGATCGTGTCATTTGCTGGATGAGCGCATCCACTTCTAAAAAAGATCCTCTTACAAAGGGCATAGTAGACAATCATCACTGGTTTTCACCACGCGGCGTCTTTTCCTCTCTCGTGTAGAACTTGAGGTCGACAATCTCCCCTTACTCCTAAATCGACACTGTAAACTCTCTCCATCCCAAGGTAACAATGTTTGGTATCAATTAGCCGTCACTGTTTCCATTCCTTCGCATTCTCTAGCCAATCGAACAGTCGTTGTTTTTTATGAAGAGTGGTAGATCAGGCGGAAGACGTCATTGAAGACAAAGTAGCTACCCTGGCCATCGGGAAGCAGCTGGAACGCCTGGGTGTAGCTCATGGGCTTCTGCTCATCGTCCACCTGAACAAATAGTTAGACTTCGATCTCTCATGACGTTCCAGACAAATTCCGAAACGGATCAAGCCAGTCTTGAACCTACCAAGAGTGCACCGGTGACCAAGACCAGAATACCACCCGATTCGCTGCTGGGCTGGGCATCCAGTGTCGCGACTTGGTGGACAACCTTCGAGAACGGCAACGACTGTCCATCCATGCGTTAGCAATCTCAGATGACAACTATATTTCGGCAAAGGAAACTCACGGTCAGCTTCTCGATGATGGCCGCGCTACCTTGGACAGCCGCCGTTTCGAAGGTGAGCATCGACTGGTCGCGCTGTATGCAAACGAATGCCCATTAGTCTATGTCCATCATCTCCAAATATAAGCCTCTGGTATATCGAGGGTATCCGCTTACGTAGAGAGGGGCGAGGTTGGCCCGGTTCTCATCGAAGGTCTTGTAGTAGAACTGGACGAATTGCTCTGTCGTCGAAGTCAGGATGTGATGCAAGGCGCGAATTCACCCGAACAAATAAGACTGCAGTCAGGGACAAATAGAGGAAAAACATACGAGCAACGCTGTTGAAGTCTATTCATCAAAAGTGAGTCAGCTAGTCATTCTGAGAGATATTCGCACTGCTGCGCAGCAGGCGCAGGACCAAATACAACTCACCAGTCATCTTGACGAGTATTATTTGCAGGAACTGTCACAAAATATAAACCCAGAAAGCCACCAATGACGCCTTTCGGCCAGACAGGCTCACAGAGAGGGAAAAGGAGCGATTGTTGATATGGGAGAGGTGTTTACGGAGGTCAAACTTCAGCGCCGAAGCGACAAGGAGGGGTGTTGTGGACCCGGTTGGGCAGGTTTGGTGGGGTCCGTCAGAATAGGTTAGTGGCTTTTGGTTTCTGTAAATTTCTCTTCCCGGCAGCTTCCTTCGTCCTTCGTTTCAACCATCTCACAACACACACAAGACTGTGTGAAGGATTTTTCCTAGCCAGCTACAATTGCAACCATTGCTGCTGTTATCTTCCTGACTTTATGTAGTCAGCCTTCCCTTGTCTTGCTAACCACAGCAGTCATCTTAAAACTGGCATATATATGGTAGGTAATGTCCTTTCTGCGCCTTCTCCCTCTTGTCGTACTGCTTGCTGTCTACATGATGTTCATAAACGATAACTTCTGACACTCACACCCATGGAGTGAAACCCTTTTGTTCTCTGATAATGCACAGCATGTTTTGCTACTTGCTCTTCAACGATCTAGTCACTTTGTGCAGGGGCAATTATTTACTAACAGTTCCAGGTTCTAGGTTTCTCATCAAGGTTGACCCTCTCTCTTGGTTGATTCAGCAGTTTCTACTTGTATAGCTCCAAGAGCGGGGTTGGTAGCTATCTAGATAGCTTCGCAGTTGTCTATTACGAATTGATGTCCGAGTTATATACACAATCTACAAATTTGCCCTGAATACCCCGTAGAGTCAATAGATGAAATTCTTCGATTGCTGGGTATCTAGCCTCACGAATAATGTGCTCCTCTAGTAGACATGAACTATAATCCCCATCCTTCATTGTGAATAAAAGCCAGGCATAAAATTTAGACTATTCTTCTCCCGATTCCGAGTCTGCAAACATGTCTTCTGCCTTGGGTCGTGGTTTTCGAGCTGGAAGGGAATCACGCTGTGCCTCAGATGACTGTTCTCCTGCAGGCTTTTCGGACGCAGCTTGCGTGCTTTCGAGATCAGGCTGAGCTTGGGCCGGTTCATCTTCCTCCATAGGCTGCCCATCGATGTTCTCATCTTCCAGATCACTGTCTTCCATGGGCACGCCGTCGATGTCACTCATAGGCTCTCCATCGATATCCCCCTCCATGTTATCATCAGCCATGGGCATTCCATCAAGCTCCATGTCCGTTTTCTGCACTTGGCTAGTTTCAGTTGCAGGCTTGCTGGGGTCAAACTTCCCTCCCGAGGATGCGTCTTCTTCGACTGTCTTCCATCGACTCTTCCCCTTAGCGCCGAAAACGCCGCTGGCCTTCTCTGCCTCGGCTTTCTTTTTCTCTTCTGCCAATTCTTCCTCCGTGGGAGGAGGCTTCTCGAACATCTGGACAAAGTGTTCCTGACTTGACTGGGGAAAGACGCACCAGCCTTCCCAGAGGTTCAATAGCGTTCCAACACTGCGTCTCCATTTGTCCGCTTTGAGTCGACCCCAGGAGAGTTCCTTTTCCAACCGCCCCAGATGCTCGAACACTCCTCGAGACCGGAAGGCGGACTCGAAAAGTTGCCGGTAACGCCAAGCGTGGCGAACGCCGCTCGTAGCAGAAGACGAGAGGATATCTGAAATAACATAAAGGCCGACGAGTTTAGCAGCCGACGTGTCCACCTTCTCCTTGGACGATACGCGGGGTGCTTCATTCGGATTTTCGGAAGCATTTGCATTCTCCGCAGCGTCCGACTTGGGGGCATCATTCTCCTTAAGAGCGCTATGCACCTCATCCCGATCTGGATTCGCATGTGTATACGCGAAAGGATTGAGCACGTTGGAGACGAGCATCTCAACCACTTCCTCTGCGCCTCCACCTGCGTGCTCAATGGCAAACGCTGTCACGCGAGCCACATCTCCACGTCGTAGCTTGGTGTTGGCAGTAGGAAGTCTCGCAAGTAGATGAGTCAGTTTGGCTTTCTGGAGAGGGTTCATATAGCCCACCCCATCCTCATTCCCGCCAACGTCATCTGCGGCGTGGCGACGCCTCTCATCCTCCATGTCCGAGTCGTCCTCTTCGGAGGAATTGTAGTCATCGTCCGAGACGAATTCATCGATCTGCGTAGTATATTCGAACCGGATCGCTTTCTCCGGAGGAACCCAGCTTGCTCCACCTTCGAAGATTAATGATGAGGCTTTCTCGTTCCTTCCGTGTCGACCCCTGCTGACCTTTGGGTTTGTGAGGATTTCCCAAAGCTTCCATCGGTACCACACACCACCCGTACTGCGTGCATCCCACAGCCAGGCCCATTTTTCGTCCTTCTGGACCTCTGGCCTGCTCATGAGCAATGCCTCAAACTCCGGACCGTAAGTCAACAAGTTTTCCAATGTCTTATGTATTAACCGGAGCTGCTTCAGATCCGATGGTGGTTTCACCACAACCTGCGCTGTTGTGCCCGTCCTTCCATACTGCGACCCGTATGAACCCGGTGGAGCAAATCCACCCCGATGCGATTGCGGAGGAGGTGCACGGCTGAGTCTGCCTGGCGGGCCTTGTTGAATCGCCTTCGCGCCAAAGGGCAGGGAGCTAGTGGACGATAGGCCAACATTCACAGGCATGCCAGAATTGATGGCTGCGGATGAAAGGTGACGAGATATGGACAAATAATAGCCCCAGCCAAGGTATTTGTTCTGTAGAGAGCTCACTGCGGAGTCGATATCAGAGCCCGGCGTTTCCTTCGCGAGAGTAACAATAGCGGATAAAGACTTCCGCTCCGTGGAAGGCTGGCCGGACGGAGGGAGTATCTTCACACCGTCCACCGTGAGATTCTGGGGTATTAAAGCCTTAATGACCGACGGGGACGTTCCTGGAGGGAGCGAGGCTAGGAATAACGTAGGCTTTGCGACCGCTTTCTCGGCATCTTTGTCATCTGCAGTTCTTTCTTCCTCGTCGTCGGAGGTCCGGAAGGCGGAGGCGGGGTCGTGGGAGTTTTCAAAGGCGAGAATTCCGTGCGATTGATCTTTCTCTCTATCTCGATAGAATCCATCGTGAGTCCGCTTTCGTGCCAACGACGGGGGCGGGCCTAAACTGCCTGGACCGCTGTTGCGGGTGCCGGAGCTGGTGAAGTGGCGCTTCGCAGTGCCAGTTCCCAGACTTCCTGGCCCAGAGCCACCATGGCCAAATGTGTTCGGCTTCGATCCTGTTGAAGATGTTGAAGGGCGATTGAGAGTTTCGGGGTCGTTCTCAAAGGACTTGACAAAATCTTCGTAGACGGCCGCAGTCTCAGCCTCTTCGCGCGCGCGTTTCGCCTCCGCCTCGGCCTTCTGCCGTTCGAACAGCGATTTTCTGGGCGCGGCAGCCAGCTTCGATGAGAGGTCTGGAAACCCCTTCACTTTCGAGTCCTCTGGCATGATGACTGCAGGCCGACAATGGCCCTTGCGGGTGGTGTGTTGGTACGATAATGTTGCTGTTGGCGGAGTGGCCAAAGCTTGGCCTGCGAGCCATTGCGCTCGGAGGTGAGCTGCCAATAGGACGGAGCATTGCTGTATTACTCCGCAGGGAACTTGTCAGCCCTACAACTTCAACTCTTACCAACACATATAGTGAATTGGTTAAATTCATC